GTCCTGAGTGTGTTGTGCCACTCGCGAGGCGCCTGGCGGAGACCGTAGACTGGCCGGCGGAGGCTCCACTGGGTACCTGTAGGAAACGACCCAGTGAAACCAGGTGGGCGGCGCAGCAAGATCTCCTCGTGCAGGCTGCCCTGCAGGAAGGCTGTACTGAAGTCCAGGGAGTGTAACTCGTAGTCACGCTGAGCAGCTACGTGCAGCAACACCCGAAGAGTAGTCATCTTCGGGGTTGGGGAGAAGGTCTGGAAGTAGTCAACTCCCTGTCGCTGACTGAAACCTCGAGCAACGTAGCGCGCCTTGAAGGCAGGCAGAGAACCCGGTGGCCGCTTCACCTTGAAGATCCACATGCCATCGACTATGTTCACCCCAGGTGGGGGAACCTCGTCGACGGAAGTGCCTGTGGACTTCCAGGATGCCATCTCGGCATTCACATGGGCGAGTGCCTCGGTGACAGCAGTAGCAAAGACGAGGTCGTCTACGTACACGAGAACGTAGAACGGCGGCAGAGTGGTATCAGTGCGTAAAAACAGTGACGCGTCAGCAGTGGAAGGAGCAAAACCAAGAGTAGAAAGAGTCGTCCTCAGTGTGTCGTGCCACTCACGGGGTGCCTGGCGGAGACCGTAGACTGGCCGCCGGAGGCTCCACTGGGTACCAGCAGGAAACGACCCAGTGAAGCCAGGTGGGCGGCGCAGCCAGATCTCCTCGTGCAGGCTGCCCTGTAGGAAGGCTCTGCTGAATTCAAGCGAGTGGAGCTCGTAGTCTTGCTGAGCGGCGACGTGCAGCAGTACCCGAAGAGTGGTCATCTTCGGGGTAGGGGAGAAGGTCGGAAGAAGTCAACTCCCTGTCGCTGACTGAAGCCACGTGCAACGTAACGCGCCTTGAAGACAGGCGGAGAACCCGGCGGCCGCTTCACCCTGAAGATCCACATGCCACTGACGATGTTCGCCCCAGGCGGGGGAACCTCGTCGACGTAGGTGCCTGTGGACTTCCAGGAAGCCATCTTGGCGTCCATGGCTGCCTGCCACTGAGAGGAGTAGGGACCCTCTATCGCCTCTGCGTAAGAGCGCGGGGTCGGGATGTCTGGTGCATCCGGGTCTCCCTCAGGGGCAAGCAGCATGGACACGAGATGAGGTACAGCAGCGGCAAAGCACTCAACCTCCTCCTGTCTGTCCTCAAGAACGTCCGTGCCAAGAGCACACTCACCCCCGACGGACGGAGGACAGACAGACGCAGACGCAGACTTAGCAACAAGACTAGTGGCGTAGTCTAGGCGACAGGCTGCAGCAAAGTTAACAAGCTCAGCAATGAGAGCAGACGCAGCAGTGGACTCAAACAAAGGGTCAGTGGCAGCAGTGGCCAGAAAACGCGTGACAGTAGGACTAGCAGCACGAAGGGAGTCAGACTCCGGGTCCGGACCGTCAGGGAGAGAGGACTCAGGAGGAGACGGCAGAGGGTCACGCTGTGGAGCAGTGGAAGGACGCAGAGTCATAGAGTGAGTGCCAGGGACAGGAGGAGGACGCGGACGCAAAACACGATGACCAGCGCGACCAGTGCGGACAGGCGACTCAGAACGAGACACAGGGGACGCAGGACGCGACTCAGGCTCATGACGCTCCGTAAGACCTCTAGTCGGTCCAGAGTAAGGAGAAGGACCAGGCAGTGGAGAGGACAGCTGTAACTGCGACTATGACTGGACAGGCGGTGGACTCAGTAAAGGAGGAGTAGGACCAGGAGAAGGCGGTAGACCAAGAAGCTGCTGAAGGAGCGGAACGTAGTATGGCCGCGGCCGCGCAGCGCCTCCAGAAACAGCAGAGACAGCACCAGTACCCTCAGCTCCAGGGTCTCCAGTAACAACTCCCGCAGCACCACCAGCTCCAGTACCTGCAGCTCCAATGCCTGCAGCACCACCAGTCACAGCAGCTACAGTACCTCCAGTACGAGCACCTCCAGGACCAGCGGCTCCAGCAGCAGGACCTCCAACAGCGCCAGCACCAGCAGCACCTCCAGTAGCTCCAGCACCAGCAGCACCTCCAGCAGCTCCAGCACCAGCAGCACCTCCAGCAGCTCCAGCACCAGCAGCACCTCCAGCAGCTCCAGCACCAGCAGCACCTCCAGCAGCTCCAGCACCAGCAGCACCTCCAGCAGCTCCAGCACCAGCAGTACCTCCAGCAGCTCCAGTAGCCCCTCCAGCACCAGTAGCACGGCGACAGCAGTACTAGTTGCCCCTCCTCGCCTGTCCTCTCTTCTCCTCTCCTCTCCTCTCCTCGCCTCTCTTCTCCTCTCCCCGCCTCTCCCCTCCTCTCCTCGCCTCTTCTCTCCTCCTTCCGCCATGCTAACCGTTTCTTTCTACTCAAGAAAGGCAGCTTCGTGTCGTTGCTTCCACCTGCTCCCATTTTCTCTCGCCACCTCTGTCCTGTTCTCATGCCGCCACCATGCCTCCGTCGCCCACCAGTCTCGCGCCATCCCTCCTCCTCCATCCTATCCTGTACCCCTGCCCCCCCCCCCCCCCTCCTCCTCACCCCCCTCTCTTGCTCTTTTAGGTGAGCCGCGCATCGGAGTCAGTGCGCAAGGCAGTGGGGCGGCAGGGGGGCGGGTGACACGAGTGCACTACAACTCTCTGGGCCTGCGAGCGCTGCTCAAGCCGCACTGGTTTGCCAAGAAGGGCCGCGTGCTGCCGCGCCCCGCGCGCCCGCTTCCGCGCATTCTGCAGCTTGGCCTCGTCGATGCCATCGGCACGCTGCCTGCTCCCACTCATCCCGTAACATAATCTAGCTCGCCGTAGGTGTCGTTCCTGGACGGTTGATATCATAATTTTTTTTGTTTAATACCTGTAAGCTTTGGTTTCCTGTATTTTCATCCAGGGCCTCGGATTCACTTTTAGAGATCCTGATGCATCAGGGTCTCTCTGAGAGAAAAGGCTGATTGTCAGTGAGTGTTCCTAAAATAAAAGCCTGAAGAAATAGTGCTACTTCAAATAAAAGGTCTGATTGATCTGTGTCCAGAAACAAAAAAAAGCATGATTTTATTATTACGGTAAGCCTAAGCTGTAAATTGTTGGGCTGAGAAAGGCTCTTAGGATCGTTTTCATGACTAAAGTCTCAGAGTGGTGATGTATTAGCAGAAGCGTAATAGTGGATTAATTGAACCACCTTGCACTAGTATGTGAGAACAAGCTAAGAGCATGTTCCTACGGCCTCTTGTCAGACTTGCCTCAAACACTAATATTTTGGCTTAACCCTACTTTTTATTTATTTATTTTCGTTGCTTGGTGAAGTGCGCGACACAATGAGTGGGGTGACATGGCACTGCGCAGCGTTCCCGTTCCGAAAGGTTGCAAAGGTACAATTGTTTCCTGAGTCCTGACAAATCACAAACGACCGAAACGTGCGCTTGGTGGCTGTAAAGTCTTCGACTGTGCGAATAACTGACCTGGCTCGCCGAAACAGCACGTGTGATAGGTTTCGCGTGACCAATTCATCGTGCAGCACCGTTTGTTTTGAAGTCTGAAAAACGGTGTTAATAACGAAATCGCTCGAATGACCAAGTCTGACAAGGGCCCAGCCTGAATAGAGGCCGTAGGAACATGCCTTAAGTTGATTATAGCAAAGAGATACAAGCAGGGCCTGTGCTAGGATTTTGGGCATCCTGAGCCCTCAGGGCAACTTTTGAAAATTCTAAGGAATGCCCTGATTTTTCAGGGCAATTTTTTATGGCTATCCTGAACTTTCAGGGCACCTACATGAGTTCATCCTGATCTTTTAGGGCAACAAAATCACAAGACATGAGAGAGGTGGAGGGGGAGGCACGATATGACTGGGAAGCCCGGTGCATGCATGGTACGGTACGACGAGGAAGTGGCGAAATCCTCGGGAGGAGACAAAACCAGTACACACACCCCCCCGCCCCTTTCCCCCCTCTCCCTCATCCCCCCCCCCCAACCCCCAACCCCCACACCCCATCCCCTTCTGCATACGCGTCAGGGCAGCCCTCTTCCTTCGTCCTGATGCTTCAGGGCAAAATCTCACGGCCTTCCTGAAATTTCAGGGCTCAATACAAAAAATATCCTGAAGTGACAGGGTAAAATATACCATCATCCTAAAATTGCAGGGAAAACACCTGACACTATCCTGAAATCAGGGAAATCAGGATGTTTTACCCTGATATCTGTTAGAATACTAGCGTGACTTAGGAGCCATGGCTAGTGAGTGTCGAGAAAATTGAGTGTCGAGAGAATTGGAAAGGAGAATGAGGGGTTTCACTAGCAAGAGTTGGGATACAAGTACAACACCCTAAATTGGGTTGTACTCATTACAGAGTACCCCACTGCAGGCTAGACAGAAAATACATTCTGACACACCCCCATAGTCAAAGTGCGGTATAATCAGCGGAGCAAGCAGTCATAGAGCAGGTTCACAAGTACAAGCAAAGCTAGAGGCATACACAAAGGGCAAGTGAGGAGGAGGCTGGACTGTGAGAGGAGAGGAGATAGGAGGCGACTACTGATGCTGCAGACACACAGGCAATAGGAGCGGCGCGCACTGTGGCTACCGGAGCAAGGGCCCCAGACTACAGGAGTAACTGGCTCTGCGGCTAACTCTGAGCGGCAGGAGCAACGGACCCACGGGCGACTGGCGCAGCAGGCTCGCTGGGCTACCGGAGATTGTAGCCTACGGACTACTGGTGCTGCTGGCGACACAACGGCTACCTCCGCTCAACCTCCCCCAACAGTCCCACACCCCTTTCACACACCCCTTGCTGCACCCCTAGCTCCACTCCCACGTCACCCCCCTAGCACCATTCCCTAGGCTCCCACACACCCACCCCCCTCAGCGGCAGCTGCAGCAGTGGGAGACAGAGGAGGAGGAGGACCAGGTGACAGTTCACACACCCGCCACCCCCATACCCTCCCCCACTGCTGCACCTGCAGCAGGGGATGGAGGAGAAGGGGGGGGGGGGGGGGGGCTGTGCATGGCGCGTGCAGAGGGCAGCAGGGCTCACGGGGCGCACAGGGCAGCAGGGTGCGCGGGGCGCACAGGGCTGCAGGGCGCGCGGGGCGCACAGGGCAGCAGGGCAGCAGGGCGCGCGGGGCGCAGCAGGGCTGCAGGGTGCGCGGGGCGCGCAGGGCAGCAGCAAGGGCTGGGGGGGGGGGGGGGGGGGGGGGGCTGATGCTGCAACTCCCCTCCCCCCCACTGCTGCTGCAGATCTCCTCCCCCCCATTGCTGCATCCACAGCAAGGGTGGAGGAGAAAGGGGGGGGCGGGGGGGGCTGGTGCTGCAGATCCCCTCCTGCCTCCCTCTGAACCTCCAAGCTCCCCCCCCCCCTCCCAACACAGGGTGCGGCAAGGAGAGAGAGAGGAGAAAAGGGCGGGGGGGGGGGGGGGGCTGATGCTGCAAATCCCCTCCCCCCACTGCTGCTGCAGATCCCCTCCCCCCCACTGCTGCACCCGCAGCAGGGTTGGAGGAGAAAGGGGGGGGGGCGGGGGGGGCTGGTGCCGCAGATCCCCTCCCCCCCCACTGCTGCACCCGCAGCAGGGGGAGGTAGGAGAAGGGGCGGTGCAGGAGCCGCTCGGGCGACAGCAGGTTGGCCACACCCGCCACCCCCATACCCTCCCCCCCACTGCTGCAGCTGAGGCACATCCGCCACCCCCTCACACCCTCTCCCCGCCATCCCCATGGAGGGGGGGGAGGGGGGCGGGGGCGGAGCTGCGCGTGCGACTGTAGGGCACGCGGGCAGGAGGTACCCCCTCTTGCCACCCCCTCACCCACCATGTTGCAACAGGGCACCAGGGCCGCGGGTAGGGGCGGCAGATCGTGAGGGGCCATGGCCAGGGGCGACGGGGCCATGGCTAGGGGCGATGGGGCCATGGCTAGGGACGGGGTCGGGCGCTGGGCAGGTACAGGGCCAGGCGCTGGGCAGGGACTGGGCCAGGCGCTGGGCAGGTACGGGGCCGGGCGCTGGGCAAATACGGGGCCGGGCGCTGGGCAGGTACGGGGCCGGGCGCTGGGCAGGTACGGGGCCGGGCGCTAGGCAGGTACAGGGCCGGGCGCTGGGCAGGTACAGTGCCGGGCGCTGGGCAGATACGGGGCCAGGCGCTGGGCAGGTACTGGGCCGGGCGCTCGGCAGGTACGGGGCCGGGCGCTGGGCAGGTACGGGGCCGGGCGTTGGGCAGGTACGGGGCCGGGCGTTGGGCAGGTACGGGGCCTGGCGCTGGGCGCGGAATGGGGCCGGGCGCGGGGCTAGGTACGGGGCCGGGCGCGGGCTAGGTACTGGGCCGAGCGCGGGCAAGAGACGGGGCCGGGCGCTGGGCAAAGGACGGGGCTAGGCGCGGGCTTGGTACGGGCCGGGCGCGGGCTAGGTACGGGGCCAGGCGCGGGCGAGGTACGGGCCAGGCGCGGGGCTAGTAACGGGGCCGAGCGCGGGCTAGGTACGGGCCGATCGCGGGCCAAGTACGGGCCGGGCGCGAGGCTAGGTACGGGGCCAGGCGCGGGCGAGGTACAATGCCGAGCGCGGGCTAAGTACGGGCCGGGCGCGGGGCGACGGAGTCGACGGGGCCAAGGGGCCGAGGCGACGGGGCCAAGGGGCCGAGCCTAGGGGCTAGGGGCGACGCCTAGGGGCGACGAGCCGGGGCCTAGGCTAGCAGGGTAGTAGGTGGTGGGCCCATTAACATTAGGTCCTAGGAAAGTTATGCTCTTAATACCATGTTTGAATACTAGCGTGACTTAGGAGCCATGGCTAGTGAGTGTCGAGAGAATTGAGTGTCGAGAGAATTGAGTGTCGAGAGAATTGGAAAGGAGAATGAGGGGTTTCACTAGCAAGAGTTGGGATACAAGTACAACACCCTAAATTGGGTTGTACTCATTACAGAGTACCCCACTGCAAGCTAGACAGCAAATAAATTCGGACAATATCGGGGGGCCTGGATACAAGGCTTTATATGATTACAAGGAATATGAAAAGTTTAACTGTAACTGCTGTTGCGGTTCGATACAGGGACGACTCGGGTAACTGCTCAATAGCGAGTCAGTTATGTGTCCTTGCTGTCGCGCTGCTTTTCGGCGAGTCAGAGGTCGTTGACCTTTGACCTTCACTTAACCTCTTGCTGTTGTCTTTCTGTCAACCGCTTTGGTTGACTCGCTGTTACTTCGTTGTAGTTCGCTTCGCTTACATTCAGTGCCTCAGATATCAGGAAAAAAACAATGAAATTCCGGATTTTGGCAGTCCATTCTCAACCTACCCTGAAAAACCAGTGTTAAGATTTTTGTGGGACTGATCTTTCAGCCTTTTTTGTGAGGCCACACTGAAATTTCAGTTCTTTTTTTCCAAGTACACTGATGCTACAACGTTGAAACGAAACTAACACTGAAAGCGATTCTTACCTGTGTCATGTGGATTTGACCGCAATTACAGGGAATCTCAGATTCCCGTGGTGTAGGCACCGCGGAGCGAGACGAACCTGTGAAAATTTGCCTCGAATTCACGATTGAGAGGTGCTTTGTTGGCGCGGCGCCACACATCATTGGGCCGTTTCGCTGCAGCATATTTTCTTAGCCAATCCGAACGTGGCCAGTGGCCACCATGTGGTGCTGGAGGGCTGCCAACGTTCCTGCCCCGTTGACAACCCAGCCCATGCACCGTGGTTGCCATCCAAGGGCCCCTTCTTCTCCAAGCTTTGCATCCGAAGCTGGGTTTCCCCTTTCTTCCTAGTGTACCACCAAGAGGCAGCCAGCCGTGGCCTATGCTTTTTCTGGAAACAATCCCTCTCGTTGTCGTTAGCTTAGATGTGAGGCCGTCCCCGCTACTTACCATGGTAAAACACCTTGACGGCACGGAAACAAACGGCGAACACGGCGGTCAGGGGCATCGCCAGCTGCCCGTAGTCCGTTCTGAAGCAGTTACGGGCCTCGATTTATTGTTTTTGAGCATAGCGGAAGTCAACGACAACGAGAAGCCACCGGATCCCGAGCCGCCCGACAAAATCACGTTCGAACACATCGATGAGGAGGGTTGGTGTGCATCCCCGATAGCGCCAGTCACGGAGCAGGACAGCTCGCCGCCTCCAGCTGAAAAACTGGCTCCCGAACCCGTGACCAAGAAATCCAGCCGTTACATGCAGTCAACGCTGCCATGGTTTACAAAGGGCGCTGACGACGGAGCTACCCCGCCTTCACCAGCCGACCAACGGTCGTCGCCCGTGATTGCCGGCCCACAGGAGTCGCCATCGGTTCCTGGTCCTTCTAAGCAGTCAGGACGCGATGTGATTTACGCTGAGTCTCTGTATAAGTACAAGACCGAGTGGCTACACAGGTTTTCGTGGCTCATTCTTTTGCGGCAATCTGACGGTCTCCCAGCTTTCAAGTGCTCTATCTGTACCGAGCATGCAGGTTACGCTGGAAAGTGCGGGAAGCGCAGGAGGGGCGCGTCGGACGTACAGACGCAGGCTTTCAAGAGGCATGCTGCAACAACGAAGCACAAAGAGGCGGTCAAGCACCAAGAAAAGCTTCTTGCTGAAGCTAGCCGGCAGCCACGGATCAACGTGTTAGAATACTAGCGAGAATGACGAGGATGATGGACTAGGAAATGTGAGAATTGAGACTGGAAATGAATGAACTAGGAATGAGATGGGTACAAGTAGGAAACACAAAAGTGTTGTACCCTCTAAGGACTACCCCACTACAGCCTAAATAGACTATAGCATATATAAGTTTGACACACCCCCATAGGCAAAGTGGGGGAGAACAAGGGGTCACAAGACCAGTCAATAAAGCAAAGCAAGCTCAGGGTGGATCACAAAGTCACCACATAGTCTGAGCACAGGCAAAACGGCCACAAGGCCAGTTCACATGCAGAGTTATATAAAGGAAAGCAAACAATACAGTGAACACAACCTAGCAAGTGTAAGCATGCAGGTATAAGTATATAGAGTACAGTACAAGCAGAGTCAAGAAGTCAGCAAGTGAGGCACAGTAGGTACAAGGCCTAACACAGTACAGAAACGCTGATGATCACAAGGCTGAAGTACCTTGGTGAAAACATCAGCAGTGTTGGCCTGAGAGGCCACGTAAGCAAGACGAAGCTGGCCACGCTGCTGCAACTCTCGAGCAAGGAAGTAGCGCAGAGCAATGTGCTTCGTTCTGTGCTCCAATCTGTGCTCCTGACACAAGGCCAGCATGGCCTTGTTGTCGACGTACAGAACTGGAGGAGAACGAGGCACCTCTCCCAAGTCGGTCAGCAGGTAGGTGAGCCAGCGTAGCTCCTGTGCAGCCATGGCCCCAGCGTAGATCTCAGCCTCACAACTCGAACTGAGAACACAAGAAGAGCGGGTAGACCGCCAAGAGACAGAGCCGGAGCCAAGACTGAAGGTGTAACCCTGTGACGACCGCTGCGTAGCCAAGTCGTCAACCCAGGAGGCGTCAGCGTGACCAGTGAGGACAACTCGAGCCCGTCCTCCAAGCACAAGCCCCATGCCCGATGTACTGCACAAGTATCGCAACACCCTCTTCGCAGCATCCCAGTGCACCTTTCGGTGCCTACTGGGAGCCACGTAGCGAGCCAGAAGGCTGAGAGGGTATGCGAGGTCAGGTCGTGTGCAAGTCATCAGGTACATGAGGCAGCCCACAAGCTCTGGATACGGGCCACTCGGCTCTACGGACTCGTCCGAAGTGGAGCTGAGAGCGAGTGACTGGTAGGCAGAGGAGTGGACTGTGGCGAGGAGTACGTGAAGCCGAAGCGCTGAAGGACCTGCTGCACCATGTGTGACTGAGTCAAGGTAATGGTGCGCTGTGCTCTGTCCCGGGTGATCCGCAAGCCAAGATAGCTGGTCATCTCACCCAGGTCTGTGCACGTGTGTCTCTTCTGCAGCTCGGACTTCACATAGGCGAGTGCCTCTGTGTCAGCAGTAGCAAAGACGAGGTCGTCTACATACACGAGAACGTAGAACGGCGGCAGAGTAGTGTCAGTGCGTAGAAACAGAGAAGGGTCAGCAGTGGAAGGAGCAAAACCAAGAGAAGCAAGAGTCGTCCTGAGTGTGTCGTGCCACTCACGGGGTGCCTGTCGGAGACCGTAGACTGGCCGCCGGAGGCTCCACTGGGTACCAGCAGGAAACGACCCAGTGAAGCCAGGTGGGCGGCGCAGCCAGATCTCCTCGTGCAGGCTGCCCTGCAGGAAGGCTGTGCTGAAGTCAAGCGAGTGGAGCTCGTAGTCACGCTGAGCAGCAACGTGCAGCAGTACCCAAAGAGTGGTCATCTTTGGGGTAGGGGAGAAGGTCTGAAAGAAGTCAACTCCCTGTCACTGACTGAAGCCACGAGCAACGTAACGCGCCTTGAAGACAGGCGGAGAACCCGGCGGCCGCTTCACCCTGAAGATCCACATGCCACTGACGATGTTCGCCCCAGGCGGGGGAACCTCGTCGACATAAGTGCCTGTGGACTTCCAGGAAGCCATCTCGGCGTCCATGGCTGCCTGCCACTGAGAGGAGTAGGGACCCTCTATCGCCTCTGCGTAAGAGCGCGGGGTGGGGATGTCTGGTGCATCCGGGTCTCCCTCAGGGGCAAGCAGCATGGACACGAGATGAGGTACAGAAGCAGCAAAGCACTCAAACTCCTCCGCACCCTCTGACTCAGCACCCCCAGGCTCAACACCCTCAGGCTCAGCACCCCCAGACCCAGCACCCTCAGACCCCGCACCCCCCGGCTCCGCACCCCCAGACGCAGCACCCCCAGACGCAGCACCTGGAGCAGCACCTTGGACGACAACTACCTGAACAGGCGCAGTACCAGGGAGAGGGTCTACCTGAGACACTTCCAAGGGAGCAGGACCCTGGGGTGGAAGGGGGTCTACCGGAGGTGGACCGGGAGGAAGGAAGAGC